CCGCCGAGAGGAGGCCGGCGCAGCGCAGGCGACACCGACACAAGGCTCGGAGAGTCCGACGGCCTTCGCCTGGGCTGATCCCGCGCAGGGAAACGCGGCCACGCAGGACCACCAGGCGGGTGGACACCAGCTGAGCGCGGGCTGGGGTGCAGCACCTCTGCAGGGGCGCACGACCACCCACTCCCTAGGGAGGGACTCCCCCCGCCCTTCCCCCTGCACGCCCTTCACAGCGGTGCGCACACACCACACGCTTTCCCGGCGCAGACACACAACATGGCAGACTCACAATCAGACCCGTGGGACCCACAGACCCAGGGTCAACACACTCACAGGGCAGCCCTGGACACACACACGTGCACCCTCCCCAGGAATGCGCAGGGACCCCCAGCAGGCCCTGGGCAAGAAAGGCCTCAGCCCTACAGAACGGGCATACATCCAGGACCACCAGTGCAGATGAACATGCAGCTTTGTACTCTGTCCCCGCCGGGGGAAATATCCACATCTATATACTTGTGCGTAAACTCAGAGGACTTAGAGTGAGCCTCCTTTGACAGCACCAACGCAATACCAGGTGGAAAAACACACAGAAGTAACATTCCTGAAACTCTGGAAGGACAATCCCAGGGACTCTTCCCTGGTGTTGGAAAATTAGAAACTCAGGAGACAGAGGAGCCAGCCCTCAGAGCTCCTTCCTTTAAAATCTTTCTGAAACAAGGCAAGACACAAATAAACAAATTAATTTAAAGCCACAGTGCGAGTCATAAAGATAACAAAAGAATCAAGACAAACTTTGGAATAATGGAGGTGTAGATATGAAACAAGCTGAGTTGGAATCAATGAGAAAATAGGCCCACCACTACCTCAGGAAGGTTCCAGGGTAGAATCCCACCCCAACCTCAGGAAAGTTCCAGGGAAGAACCCCACCCCTACTCCAACCAGGTCACAATGGCTGGAGCTCTGAGGGGCCCAGGTCCCCTGAGCCAGGAGGAGAGGAGGAAATACAAAGAAAGATGGTGAGTGTGGGGGTCGGGGGCTGGGGGGAAGGAGGGAGGGCCCAAAACAACACTCCCTCCCTGTAGTTCCTGGCTGCTCCCCTTCCCCACCTCCCCTAAAACTTCCCAGCTGTCCCAGAGACAGCCACAGATGAAATTCACAATTGTGTACCCAGATGTCCCTGGAACCCGTGACATCATGCAGACACAGCATCTGAGGATTCCTCCCCTTCCTCAAACCAACAGAGCATCCCTAAGTCCTTTTTCTCCTCCCAGGAACATCTTACCCAGAGAAATACTGTGCTCCAGGACCTCTCACTCCCTGCTTCCTGCTTTAGATTCTCAAGGCCCATATTGTACCACCTCATCCATCTTTCAGGCCCCTTTCTAGCTCCTAAGAGTTCCTCAGCAAGAAAGCCTGTCCCTCTACTTTACCACAGGGTCCCTGACCCCCACCCTGGACTTCGTCCTGCCCCAGGTAATCTGAGCTATGGCTGCCCTCAGGCCCAAGCTCCTTTCTCCCTAACAGGCTTGCAGTCACCCTGACTTCAACCTGCCCGACCTTACCCAGCCATCGCCGCCCTCCACTCCACCCAGCCTCCCCTCGCACCAGCGCTGCCGGCCCTCTGATGCCACCAAGGGCCTGTTCGTGGCTCTGCTGGGTGGGGGACTGCCTGCTGGCTTTGTGGGCCTCTTCTGCCGCATGGCTTACCAGGCTTCCCACTTGCCCTCGCTGGAACTGCTCATCTATCGATGCCTCTTCCACCTCCCCATTGCCCTGCTACTTAAACTGCGTGGCGACCCACTGTTGGGACCTCCTGATGTCCGGCGCCGGGCTTTCTTCCACGCTGTGCTCAACGTCCTCAGCATTGGATGTGCCTACACTGCGGTTCAGATGGTGCCCGCTGGCAACGCTGCCACCGTTCGCAAAGGTTCTTCCACTATCAGCTCTGCTCTTCTTGCCCTCTGCCTCGAGAGCCAGGGTCTCAGCAGCTATGACTGGTGTGGCCTGTTGGGCAGCACCCTGGGACTAATCATCATTGTGGGACCTGGACTAGGGACACTGCAGGAGGGGACCACGGGCCTCTACACTGCCCTGGGCTATGTGCTGGCTTTCCTGGGAGGACTGGCACTGTCACTGGGGCTTCTGGTCTATCACTCACTTCACTTCCCCTCTTGTCTACTGACAGTGGCCTTCCTATTTGGCTTGGTGGGGCTGTTGGCCTCTGTGCCAGGCCTCTTTGTGCTGCAGACCCCTGTGCTGCCCAAAGACCCTCTGAGTTGGATCTGTGTGGGGGCAGTGGGGATCCTTTCCTTGGTCTCCTTTGTGTGTGTGAGCTATGCGGTCACCAAGGCCCCTCCTGCTCTGGTGTGTGCTGTCCTGCACTCTGAGGTGGTGGTGGCCCTAATGCTGCAGTACTATGTGCTCTATGAGACCGTGGCACCTTCTGACATCACGGGGGCAGGGGTCATATTGGGCAGCATTGTCATCATCACGGCCCGGAACCTCAGCTGTGAGAAGGAAGGGCAGGTGGAGGAATGAGATCTAACTTGAGAGGCTGGGGGGTTGTGGAGGGGGGCAGGGGTAACTAGAAAGAGAGACCAGAATACATACGTGGGAGAATGAATGACTGGAAAAGAAGTGGTGTGGGGGAGGGATACCCCTCGAGTCAAGGGTGACTTGGGGACTTGGTGGAGAGGGACTACCTGTGAAATAAAGCTCCCTACACCCTCATAACGTACGCTATCTGCTTCTGTAGAATTGCTTGCTTAACCTAAGTAACTCCATTTTGCCTCCTATCTGACCTGCACACTACCCCCCCCCCTTCTGCATGAGGAACAGTTGACCTCATAGAAACAAAAGCCATTGCATTGAAACAGGAGCCATACATAGTAAACTATTACATGGGAACAGGAACCATACACAGTGAACTATTACATGGGAACATACACGATGAAAAGTTTTATGCTTGATTGCTCGAACAGCTCATTCTTGTCTTCTGTGACCTAGCTCCCTGGCTTGCTTTGTGCACCTGGACAAACCCGTGTGCCAACGGGATGTAGTTTTGCCATTAAAAACCCCACAAGACCAAGGCTCAATGCTGCTTTTCCTTGTTTGCTCCTTGGGAGATGGTCGCTGGCCAGCTGGAGTGAATAAACTGCCCTTTTCTGCACGAGTGGTGTGTAAGTGCATTTCTTGTGGGAGGGTGCCTCACAACACCTGGAAGAGGTGGAACAAATCTAGGGACCGAGGAATGTGGAACCTAGGTTGGGTCCTGGGAATCAGGGCATCACTAAAGAGTAAGGTCTGAGAAGCAGATCCACAGGGCTGAGGCAGGCAGGCGGAAGGCCATGGGAAGGATCTCCTTTGGCAGCAGAAAGAAGAGCATTGGGGCTGGAGTGCTGTGCTCAGGCAAAGAGACATAGCAAGCAGCTGCACTGGGGGAAGGGAGTGTGCCTTTTTCCCCTGGGCGACGGTTTCCTTTCCTCGTGGTTGTGCCCCCCCTTGGGGTGGTGACGTGACATTGACATCAAACAAGGATCACTCTGAATGCGGCTGTGCAATTTATGTCATCTCTGCCTTGAAGGGAGAGTGGAAGTCCTACACTGCTTACTGGAGAATCCCTTGGGATCCCCGCCTCCCCATATTATTTCTTAAATATTCTAGAAGGTGGAGGATTTCCTAACGTTCAGACTCCTTGACCCCAAATCCCCCAGGACTTTCGTGTTCCGCCCCATGGCTAATCTGCTTTTCCCGGATTGTCGCAGTCCCGTGATCTCTCCCGGACTGTGGCCAACCTCCTTCCGGAGCAGGCCCCCGAGTTGAGGCCTATTTGAGCTTGCTACGGCCGGAGATCCAGGACCAAGGCTCGGCAGAGAGCTGCGTCAGAGACCAAGAGATGTTTATCCCTGGAGGCCGCTGGACAAATATCAGCTACTTCCGGACAAGCAATTAGCCTCGCCATCTTGATCTGGTCATGCATATTCAGCGTGACAACTGCATATTCATGACCAAGGACGGCCCCAGCGCTCCCCGCGCCCCCCCCCCCCCCCCCCCGCCCCCCCCCCCCCCCCGCCCCCCCCCCCCCCCCGCCCCCCCCCCCCCCCCGCCCCCCCCCCCCCCCCGCCCCCCCCCCCCCCCCGCCCCCCCCCCCCCCCCGCCCCCCCCCCCCCCCCGCCCCCCCCCCCCCCCCGCCCCCCCCCCCCCCCCGCCCCCCCCCCCCCCCCGCCCCCCCCCCCCCCCCGCCCCCCCCCCCCCCCCGCCCCCCCCCCCCCCCCGCCCCCCCCCCCCCCCCGCCCCCCCCCCCCCCCCGCCCCCCCCCCCCCCCCGCCCCCCCCCCCCCTCCGCCGAGGACTCGACCGGCCCCCGCCTCCATTAAAGATTCTCAGGACAGACCATTTTCCAGCTTGGGGGGTGGATATTGAGAGACATGCTGAAGATGAAACCGTACTCCAAACTAGAATAAAAGAGGCCTGATTTTTCCCTTGATCCCGGAAACCTTAAAACTCAGTGGAGGAGGGAGCAACGAGGGGAGGCGGCGGGGTTCCAAAAATTGCCCTCCCCTGTCATTTCAAAAGGTCGCCCAACCAGGGAGCGAGTAGGAAGGACCAACGACTCGAGCGCGCGCCCCGTGCAGGCCGGCGCAGGCGGCCCCGTAGCGCAAGGGAGGGCGGGAAAGGAAGGGGCGGGGCTGCGGGGCGAGTCTATAAAGGGCGTCATTCCGCCAGTTCTCTCCTCAGAAGCGCGGAGAGCGCGGCTGGGGCGGTTGGAGAAGAAGGCTGCTCCCGGAAGGGGGAGAGACAAACTGCCGTAACCTCTGCCGTCCGGGAGCCTGGTTACTTATTTATTCGTTACCCTTTTTCTTCTTCCTCCCTCAAAACCTTTTCCTTTCCCCTCCTTTTTTTTTTTTTCCTTTTTGGGAGCCAAAAAATCTCCGGAAAGGCGGAGAAGAGCTCCTTTCGCTCCTTTTCATTTCCCCGCCTCCTTCCCTCCCCCACCTTTTCTCCTCCGGCTTTTACCTCCCAACTCAGGGAGGTCCTTCCCGGTGGCCGCCCCGACGGGATCTGAGCACCTAGGCGGAGGCGGCGCAGGGTTTTTGTAGTGAGGTTTGCGCCTGCGCAGCGTGCCTGCGTCCGCGATGCACGGGGGTGGCCCCCCCTCCGGGGACAGCGCATGCCCGCTGCGCACCATCAAGAGAGTGCAGTTCGGAGTCCTGAGTCCGGATGAGCTGGTAAGCCGGTCTGGCCTCCCTCCCTCCCGCACCGGCGGGCGGGGCTTGACCATGGCTGCGGAAACTTGTCGCTTCTGGCTGCCTACAGATGACGGCCAGGGAGAATGGGTTAGCGGCGCCAAGGTCGTGCGGAGTCCAGCCTCGAGCCTACCATAGTTAGGTTTTGCAAGGATTTGAGCAAGCTTAGCGCTGTGTCCGAGATGGGGGCGAGGTTGCTGGGTGAGAAGGAGGAAGAGAAGGGTGACTGATTTCACACGCCGGAGTTGGAGTTACCCACATTAAACGAGGTCAGACGAATTCTAGGGGGTCTTTCCAAGTTTGGAGAGGAAGCCAAATCCCAGATTTTCCCTTTCCCCTTCTTACACATATTAATTGAGCACCTGCAATGTGATAGACAAAACAACCGTTGGGGATACAGAGCTGAACAAGACAAGAACCCTTCCTTCTAGAGCACTTTCTGTGGGAAGTGGCAGGGGAGACAGACGATAAACATATGAATAAATGAATGAACAAGATAATGCAGTTAATGGCAAGTGCCTTGAATAAAGGGAAACAGGGTATTGCTATTAGAGAGTCTCTAAGTGAGGCTACTTTAAATGGGATGGCGTCAGGGTCTGGGAAGGCTTGTCTTAGAAGGTGACATTAACCGAATGATGAGAAGCAGCCAGTCATCTAGGCCATACATTCCAGGGCAAGAGCTTTGCCGTCAGTGGAGACAGCAAATGCGAAGGGGCCGAGGAAAAAATGAACTTGGCATGTCCTGGAGCTGAAAGGCCAGTGTGACTGGGGTTTAGTGGGTGAGGAGAGTTTTACAGGAATAGGTTGGAGAAGCATGAGATATTATAAATCATGATAAGGAGGATTTAATTCTATTTTCAGTAGGAAGTAATTGGACATTTATAAGAGTGGCATCAAGTTTACATTTTTAAAAATGCTGTTGTGGTGGCTCTGTGAAGAAGAGATCGGGGGAGAGGGTAAGAATGGAAGGAGGAGAGCCTGGAGAGGAGGGTAGTTCTTGGGGAGAGCTGTTGGTGACTTGGACTTCTTCCTTTGTGGAGCTCACAGGAGGGAGCCAGTTGGCTGGGGAGAATGGAGTTACATGGCGATGTTTGTGGAAAAGGGCAATTTTGCAGGGCGAGAGTGCTCAGCTATGTCATGAGTTCAGAACATCTTCAACTCACATAATAAAGTTTAGATGGAGTTAAGATTTAAATCTTTAAAAAACCTATAAAGTGCTAGAAAAAATATAGAAGGCTTTTGGGGGACTGATACCAGGGGCAGAAACCTTAATAGTAACGAGTTCACTATAGGTAAATTTGATGGAGTGCCTAAAATGAGCTATGTACTATACACACACGGAAGAGAAAGGCAGATTTCAGTACATAAAAATAAGCTATTTCTGTTCATCAGAGACGGTGGACAAAACTAAAGAATAGATCAGGAAACAATATTTGCAATGCGATGGACAAAGTTAGATTTCTTAACATATAAGGAGCACTTACAAATCAGTGAGGAAAATACACATCTACTAGAAAAGTGGATAAAAGATATGAAGAGGCAGTTCACAGTAGTACAAATGTCCCATAAAAATATTCAACTTACTAATTAAAACGTGCAAATTAAAATAAAATTGTTTTTCTTATCTGATTTTCCCCTGCTGGCAAAAATATTGGGAAATAGTCATGCTTATATGTTGTTGATAGACGGACAAATATGTTTAACCTTTGGAGGACAATCTGACAATTTTATTAATCTTTTAATATGTATATCCCTTAATCCGGCATTACCTAAAAATTAACTAAAATTTAGCATTATCTAAAAATTTATCCTTAATAAAAAACACTCCTACTTTCTTCCCTCAAATATGCCTCTCCTCTAGTCTTGCCAGGTTCAGTACATGACTTTTCCATTCATCCAGTTGCTCAGGCCAAAAACCTAAAAGCCATCTTTGATTCTCGTCTTTCTCACAATCTCTACTTAGTCCATTTGTCAGTTTGTCAGTTCTGCTTTTCAAAATCTGTCTGGAATCCAGCCATTTATGACCATCTCCCCCGCTAGCTTTCATCATATTCCACCCCAACATCATCTTTCCCATGGACTACTGCAGTAGTCCTAGCCCTCAGTTCGTCTGCTACAGTTTGCAGAAGAGCCTAGGACAAGCTAGAGCGATCATTTCATTGCATCCTTTCCCTGCATGGAGTCCTCTCCAGAGGATCCAAACTCCTTATTCTGACCTATTAGGTCCTATATTATCTGGCCCCTGCTTGCCTCTCCATCTCATTACGTCTCCTCTTTACTTTTCTTTAATTCCTCTGACCTGCTTGTTCCGCTAACACTGCAAGCTTTTTCCGCTAACACTGCAAGCTTTTTCCTGCCTCGAGAACTTTATTATTCACTGTTCTTGCTTATTCCTTTATGTTAGTATGCTCTCTGTTCAGATGTCATATCTTTAGGAGCTCTTCCCTGACCACCTTATTTAAATAGCACTCCCCCTGCATTCTCTAACCCCTGTCCTCTATTTTATTTTTCTTTGTAGCTTGTCACTCTTGAAACGAGTTTTTCTGTTTCTTGTTCCCTAAATAGAATGTAAATTTGAGGAGAGGGGTCCTATCTGTATTGTCAACTCTGTTTTTTCAGCATCTCAAATAGTGCCTGGCACAT